ATATATATATAAATATAAAGGGAATTAATATAATTTCTTGAGTGAAGTATGCATAGAACTTTCACAAATCTTTTAAAAATTTTGAATGAAATCTGAAGGTTATGTAACCCATGTTGGCCCAATTATTATTTTCTAATGTAATATTGTTTTAGTCATATTTATTTTGTATATTTTCAGGTTCAGACGGTGGTGATGATAATACTTCTGGTAACTATTTTAAATAATTACCTCATTCCATTAAAGTAAATCTTTATTTAGAATACCATTGTAACTGTTTGTAAAGTAGGTGTATCGCCCAAGTGCAATGGTCTGTTTAGACCTTATCTTAGCAGGATTCAAAAGTTCATGTGTAGTTGTGTACAAAGCAAAAAAATAGTTTGAACAGAAATCCCTATTGAGATAATTTGCTTTAAAAAAATAAAATATTTTTAATTAAATGTATTTATGTTTTTTTTTTTCTTCTTTCTTGACAGATGTTTTTCTTTGTGTAGTCAGTCAAAATATAGCAGAATATGTTATTTTGGAAAACATGATATTTTTAAATAATCATTTAGTTTTGATTTGTTTTTTTTTTTGTTTTTTTTAATTTCTTTCATGAAAAGAAATAAGAAAAACTAAGTTTGTCAATGTGGGAACTAGTATGTTTTTATTCAAAATGTGAAATTTGAAATATATTTCAAATGAAAAGGAGTTAGTGGAAAAAATGAAACCCTTTTTGTGTCTTCCCTTTTTACCTCAGAAGAATAAAATTATTGTTGAATCAATATTTTATCAAAAATTTTCTTCATTAACCTCACCTTTTTTACGGAATTGTTTCGTCATTTTACACCCATTTTTGTTATTTTACACCTTTTTTTTTTAAATATAGATTTGGAACAACTGCTCATATTGCTTCAAACTGCTTGTATAATTTTTTTCATTTGAGTAAATAATAATTAAACTTAATAACTCTTAAAAATTACTAACGTATGATAGTTCAAATTTAGGGACTATCCAATAAATATCCATCTTTCATCAGACTTATTATCTGGTTTCAGTCTTGTAGTCATCTTATGAAAAAGAAACTCAGCATTTTTGCTGTCTAAATTTTTTCTTACTTTGTCGAATTGCTAATGGAAAAGTTATGTTAAGTAGTTAATTTTTTTAAATTGCAGTGAAATTTTTCATTTCTTTACATTTAATAAAATGCAAAGAAAAATTATTCATAAGGTATAAAAAAAATACAACAAAAACAAGAAAAGATTTAAAAAAGAAAGAAAAAAAAATTTGGGAGAATAAGAAAAATATTTAAAAAATAATTGAAATAAGAAAATATAATAATGAAAAGATATAGTCTTTAAATTAGCTCACATAATCCACAAAAATTGTGCTTTCTAATATTGTATTAATATCATCCACATTTTATTAAAAGTAAATAAAATAATAAGAGTAATATAAGAAAATTCAGAAATATTTCCATGCTTTTAACATTTCATGTTTATATGTCTTTGCACCTGTAAAATTTAAATTGTAGCCCTATATTCACTCTGTTCATTATACCCATTTAACGACCAGTTTTAGCAAATTTCGTGTCTCGTGGTCTTGAAAATCTACCCAAGTTGTGTCCCAATCTTCGGTACATAAATTCAAACTCTGGGAAAATATGACAGTTTTAATTTTTTAAATACAATGTTTAAGACATAGCATACTCACCTGCCCAAAATATGTGATCACCAATGGCAACTGGAAAGTGGAAATTTTCAGGGTTCCCATTGGTCAGGGAAAACCTGGAATTGTCAGGGAATTTTGTTTTATATTTTAACTCCAAAAATCAGGGAAGGTCAAATTTTTTTTACAGAAACCTGGAATATTCCTATATCATACCTGGAAAATAACCAGTCTTGAAATTGTCAGTAATAGTAATCAGTTATTGAGATTCAAGTTAAATAATTCTAACATCCATTACAATTTATTGTTATTTAATTTATCAATTTATGTTATTGTAATTTATAATTATTTGTTGTAAAAATTTCACATTTTAGTCTAACTGAAATGTTCCCTTCCTTATTTAAGAATATTTTTTTGCACAGAAAATCTGATATTTCACATTGCAAGTAAAAGAGTCAAAGCTTTCTGATGAAAATACTGTCTTAATTTTCATTAAAATTTACCTGGAAAGTCAAGGAATTTTTTTTCTAAAACTGAGTGGGAACCCTGAATTTTGCACTATGCCACTTGATTTCATGCGATTTGATGCCGAATTGCTCTCTATAAATTTCTTAAAATAAATTTTGTAGTCAGTAATATTTCTCTCTAATGGTATTTTATCTACTGTTTAATCTTTATGCTTTGTTTGATATTTCATTTGTCCTGTGTTTAAAAATAAGTAATTGATAAATTAAATACTTTTGCAGGAAAACTAGCTTTGGGTGGCCATGTTTTACAGAAGGGAGAGTGTCGTCCAATGGCTGACAACCAGTACATGGCTCTTAAGAGGTTAACAATAAATTTATCTTGTTTTTTTTTTCGTTTTCAGATTTTTTCATTAAAATAATATTTATATAATTTGAATTAAAAATTTAGTATTATACCATAAAATGTTCTATGATTGATACTTACAATGTAGAAGTTCTGTCAGCTTGTCCATTATAAAATGAAGATTTTGTTTATATTTGCGTCTCTTATAACTAAGGAATCGTTTATACTAGAACCCTAAAATTTAGACAATGTTTGCAAATATAACTTTTAGTGTCTTATTTTAAAAATAGTTCAAAAATTATTTTTAGACCATACGGGTGGGATATTTGCAGGGCTAGGTATGAGTCACTTTTCTCACTTAATGTCACTATCTTAAAAAAATAGTAACTTTTATTCACTGTTTTTAAGGCTTAGTCACTTATCTCACTTTTTTTTAAATTTTCCTTTCATTTCAATCAAAAGAAAGATTTTGCATTTCTCTAAACCCATTGTGTTACAATCCACTTTCTCTAGTAAAGAGGGACTCACCCAAATGGGTGGGGCACTGAAAAGGATTGAATATGTGAAGAAAAATCGACAATTTGCACTTAATTCCTCTTGAAATGCTAGTGAGCCATTCACTTTACCGAGCAATGAGTTTATTAATCATCTATCTTAACTTTCATTTTCTTATCTGCTGTGGAGCTGCAGAACATGAAATTTTGTGTATTTCTCCTTGAATTGAATTTCCTTTTTCTGTACTGTTCATACATACGTGTCTTAAATGTGCTTAATAGAACATAATTTTCCATCATAGAAATTAAGCACTCTTTGAAAGTTCTTATTTTAAATTTAAAGTGCTTAAAAGTTCTTACTTTTTCTTCAAAAGAAAAAAACTTAAATAAAATGTTTACTTTTATATTATATTTTTTATTAATATTTTTTTCTCTTTTCAAAAATCTGATCATTATTTAATAAGATGTTATTATGTCGTGCAAATTTGTGTAATCTCTTCTTGACACGTAATTTCACACTGTTGGATGTTTTTTTTTATTGCTTTAAAGGTCAGTAGTTATTAAGAATTTTTTCAGTCCTTTCTATGTGATTTTTCAAATTGTGCTTTTTTTATATACTATGTTATGACGCATAAACTTTAAATTGGAAAATTACAAATTCATATGCTGTAAATTAACTTGGTTTTATAATCATTTTATCAGTCAAATGATTGACAAAGTTCCACTAAGTTTTTTTTTCACATGGTTTTTTAAATCTTCATATTTTAATTAAATAGCTATAACAATAAATGTTTCTAAACAAAATTTTTTCCCTTAAGTTGTATATTTTTAAGGTTTTTAAGATGTTGCCTGAATATTAATACTGTTTTTAATTAAGTCACTATCTATCAGTTTTTAAAAAATTTTAGTCATTTTTTTTTTCACTACTTTTTCTACTGTGACCTGCGCTGAGCCCTGATGCTTCTCAAAACTCAGTAACTAAATCAACTGCTAAATTTCAATATTTTAAAATCAATGGCAATTGAAATAATAAAAAAACTAAATGTACTAAAAAGAAATGTTTGAATGTGGTAAATTTTGACAAACTTGAAGTGGNAGTTTTGCTCACGGTCAACTTGTGATAATTTTAAATTTATTGCATTCAAGAAATTTATTCTTTTATTTACGCCTTTAAGAGGGTTGGTAAAAAACCTACCTATTGTCCCTCTATTCACATTATATTCTATAGTACTAAATTTTATATTTTTTGAAACAGCATTTATTACCACAATGCCAGTACCAATTACCAAAAGGAATTGTTCATTATTTGTGTTGATAAATACTTGGGCAATTTTTTACGCTACCCTTAAACAAATACGTTCCTTTACTCCTGTAATTTTGTTCATTACAAAGATTTTGTTTATTTTTTTTGCATTATTTAGCGTTGATTTTAATTTAGTTTCTTTGAAGCTCCTTTCAGAAGCACAACTTTAAACAAAATAAATGCATAGACAACTTTAGAATTAAACTGGCTTATTGATAGAATAAAAAATACCTAAACATAAAGAATGCCCAATAGACTTTTTTTTTTATTAAATAAAGCTGTACACTAGTTAACATAACTAATATTAACTTTTAAATAATTTAAACTAAAAACTGTTATTTAATTTTTAACAGTGCCCAAGGCTAAACCTGAGAAAAAAAGTAGTTTTTCAAATGGTCTTCCTTAACTAATAAATAAATGAAATTTTCTGAATAATTTTTAGAGTCGGCTAAAATTTACGGTAGCAATTACTCTCCAAGTTTCAGGATCCTTGCACAAACGTTTCTAGTATTAAGACAAACTTCATACACTGAAACTCTTCGTTTTAATATTAAGTTTTTTATCTTTCCATGCACAGAACGGAACTTTAGCTAGTTATATCAAAACTATTTTGTAAACGATCAGTTTATAATTTATCGTGAATTTGGTCTTCTTTTTTTTGCATCAAAAGAAACCTTTCTTTGTACATCTTAATTTCATCATGGTTGTACTTTTAATGCGTAACAGAACCTTATTTCAGCTCCCTTGTTTTAATATTCTTTTTGCAACTTTAACTTGTAAAAAATACATCAACAGCTTATGCTAACGTTTGATTAATGTTTTAATCTGAAAGGCCTATTTTTTCGATAAAATTAAATTATTTAATGTTACCGTATATCCTGGTGTATTCGACACCCTATTTCTGATTTATGTCGAAATTGTAAGTCAACCGCTGAAGAAGCTTACTAGAATATTTTTTTCTTTTTTTTTTTTTAATTAAAACACATTTTAAAAAAATTCTAAGCAATATCTGAAACTAGGATGAAGTTGAATCCATTATAGTGTGGTATCCATATGACGGCACTGTTGACTACATTACTAATCTGACACAGACGATGTTTTGGAATTTTTATGCTTGTAGCTTTATTGTATATTTAAAAAGTTTTAATTGTGTTATATTTTTTTAAATACTCTTGAAAAATCGTCATAACTTTTCTTAATTTTTTTTCTGAATTTAATTTAAAGTAGATGTTTTTAAAATAAAATCTTTATATGTAGAGAAAATATGAGAAGAGAAAATGCAAAATTAATTAATAATAATGCATGTTTAAAAAAAATTTTGAAAGGGGTAATTTGATGATCCATAGTTATTCATATTTATCTCATTGTTTATTATCTATCGATATTTCACAATCAACGAATGTCCTACTTAATTTCCACTTTTTAAATCGACTTATATAGCTGGATATACAGTAATTAATGAGATTCAATGTATAAAATATATTTCTGTATTTATAAGAACCTAAGATAATAAATTTTTTTGTAATAGAATATTGAGGCACAATAAGTCTTAAGGATTCATGCTATTAATGAAGTTCTCTTTCATTTGCATAATTCTGTGTTATTTATGTTTTCTCTTAACGAGTTTTCTTGTTTTTTTCAGGACATCTATACTAAAAGCCAGCCAGCCTGAGAGACAAGTTAAACAACTTCAAAAAGCTGTGCAGAGCTATAAACCAATATCTGATCATAAACATAATGTATGTTATTGCTATTAGTTGTTTTAGTTTATTTTTTTTTTCTTGTTCGACTATATCTAATATTTTATTTTATTTTACATTTTTAATTGTCTAGCTATAAAATACATTTAGTTTAAAAATTTTCAAAAATATCTCATTTTCTTTTTATTGATATTTTATATTACAGTCTCAGTTTTGAAAGATTGTGTTTTTGTGATAGGTAAATGGGTAGTAATTTTTTTTTCAGTGGTGACAAAAAAAAAAAAAAAAACATCTTTAGAATAATCTTCAAGTATTTTCTTTTTTCAAGAAATATGTTATACTTAATTCTAGCAAAGTTTTTATAACATTTACATTTTAGTCAATCATTTTTTTATTGCACATTTCAAATCTACTTATGTTTTAGAGTTAAGATTTGCATAAAAATTTATTTAGTAATGGAATTTCCTTTTTAATATAGAATTAATTCATAAAAAAAGTTTATTGGAAAATTTAAAGCAAAATTTTGAAAACTAATACTGGTTAAATTATGATACATTTTATAAAACACAAAGTATTACATGTACACAAAATAAATATGCTAAATACATGCAGAACATTTATTAGAAATGAATTTTAGTTTGATAAACTCTGAAAGTTTTGTTATAACTATCTCAATATACTTGAAATTAGAGCAAGTACAGTTATTAGTGTCAAAACCATTGTCAAAAATGTATATTATATCTCTCACAAAACACTCTCTGTCTGACATCTTTAAGCTTAAAAAATGGCACTCAAAGTGCTGCAAAACATGTTTGTATATTTTGTTCAATTAAAGACAACTAAGCCATCTGTTTATCTAGATCTTAATAAACAATTAAACACCACAGAGCAGCCTATATAAAACCATGAACGTGAAGAAAGTAGATGCACAAACTGTAATGATACATCCCTGCAGAAATCATTAATTTTGCAAATTTTGCCCATGGAAATGGTAGGATACACAGCAAGATAGTTAGTATTTTGTCCCTCTTGCTGTTTTTCCCGCCATTCGGTTAGCAAAGATTAAATTTTTGTATCATCATCATCTGTGGCTCAACAGCACAGTCTTGGCCTTCTCAAGAAATCTTTTCCGGGCTAACCTTTTTTTGTTAGTGTTTTCCAATTTTTAGTTTTTAAGACCAAAAGGTCTAGGCCATCTATCCATCTCAAATTCGACCTGCCTCTTTTTCGTGTGCCAACTGGTCTGGCATTGAAACCTCTTTTTGTGGTACGGTCTTTGTCCATTCTGATAACATGGCCTGCCCATTTTATTCTTTGTCGTTTATTAAAGTTAATAATGTCAGGTTCATTATATGAGTGATAAAGCTCTAAATTTGATCTTATAAGCCACACACTATTTATTTTTTTTTTAATTCCTCCAAAAATATTTCTCAAGACCTTTCTCTCAGAGGTACTCAACATAGCTTCATCCTTACAGGATATGATCCAGGTTTTACAAGCATATGTTAAAATGGATCTTATAAGTGATTTTTATATAATAAAACTTTCGTTTTTCTATAAATTACATTAGATTTCATGTATTTTCGAATTCCATTGAAACAGTTATTGGCTATAGTAATTCTTCTTTCTATTTCCATAGTGGTATTGTTCTTGTTGTTGATTACAGAACCCAAGTAAACGAAATTGTCAACAGTATGTGTATTTTGTATAGCAAAGTAAAATTTATGAAGAAAATAAAAATTTAAAACCGCATTTATATCCTTTAAAAAGTGCTTGCTTTTCCTTCTTTATCCTTAATTTTTCCTTGCAGGTTATAAAGTTCTTAAAACATAAGTAAATGAAATACCATTTTTCTTTATTAGATCTGACAATCAATAACAAATTAAAATGTGTGCATATTCTTGGTCCTTTTATCAGCTTCATGGTTCTTACAAACGGAAGTTTTATTGATTTCTATTTCTACCATGTGTAACTAGGCTGTTCTAATATAACAGTAAATAGTTTTGTCTCAAAATAAAGCAGTTTTAAAAAAATAATAATTTTTAATTATTTTTTTACTCAATTGATTAATTTATTGTCAAGTCCAAGTCATTTTTTACCCACCAAATTGGAAGATTATTTAAAAATGCTTATTAAATCCTTCTTCTCAGTAACACTTATTTTAACCTACCATTTCTAAAAGTCATTAGAAGTACTACTTATATTTCATCAATTTTCCTTAAAAAGTTCTTATCTTCCTTTTAGAAGAACTTTTTGAGCAATGCAATACTGACACACATATGTTCTTGTATTATTATCATATTTTGAAATTTTTTGCATGGCATTACCCTTCGTATAATTTTTAAAATTTTTTTTTTTAATATTTTACATGTTATTGCTGACATTAGTTTAACTAATTTGTAAAAGCATCTCACTTAGTTGAAATACAGTTGTAAAATTTTCATTTGTTGTATATTATTATGTCTTTTGGTACTTTTTCTGTATTGTTTTGGGATTTATTTAAATACAGTCGAGCCCAGCTATAGTGAACTCTCGGATATAGTTAACGAAATGTTCGCTCCTGTATCTTGCTACGCACATTTGTTATTTTTGTGGCTATAGTGAATTAAGAAAAAGAGAGGAATTCGAATATTGTGAACTTTTTTCTGTCTTCGACTAATTTATTTTCTTCCTTTTTTTGTAATAATTTTGAAATTTCTACTTCAAAATAAATGCATATACCGATTTTTAAAACCATTTATAGCATGGAATGTAGCAATAAGCATTTTTCTTGTTTGCTTCATTATTGAATTGGTAAAGCATTCAAAGCAGCTACGATTTATGGGTAGTTAATTTAAATAATTTTTACTGAAAGGGGGAAGCTTGGAACCATTAGTTAAAATTGTTTGCCCAACGGTTATAGTGATGTCCCAGTTATAGTGAACCGAAATTTCTGTCCCTTGAAGGTACACTATAGCGGGACTGTAGTAATACTGTAGTATAGTATGACTGTAGTAAAGTTATTACACTTGTGCTACACTAACACATGAAATCAAATTAATAGGTGCAATAGGTTGGTTGGTTGTTTTGAATGCTACCCATACAATCTCTGACGTTACTTACATCTTCTCATATTAAACATATCTGAACAACACCATCTATCGGTGTCAAATGATATTACTTCCGTTGGAGACATTTTTGAAAATGCTTTTTTTTTTCAGTTCGAAAACAAGATTAGACACTCTGTTACTGTCTGGTCAACAGAACAATCGAAATATGCATTTATTAATTACTATTGTTTTTTATGTGCAGATTGAATATGAACAGAAGAAGAAAGCAGAAGGACGAAAAGCCAGAGATGACAAAGATAAAGTCATGGATGTGCTTTTTGCTGCATTTGAGAAGCATCAATATTACAATATTAAAGATCTGGAGAAGATAACACGGCAGCCTGTTGTAAGTTTCTTTTTAACTCTTGTGCCATTTATTTAATCACTAGAACCAATTCAGCAACTGTGTTAAATTAACATAATAATTAATGGCTTTTCAAACACAATATAAAACAAATGATACATAAATAAATAATTCCAACTTGCAAGAAATCTCATAATATCTGAAAACAAAAATTCTAATAACAAAAATTCTAATAACACTTTCAGTCGGCGAAAACCAGAATTTTTTTAAGAAATAGAATAATTATCAATAGTGATATTTTGAAATAAAAACTAATACAACGTCTATTACTCAATATTTATTTTTCTTATAAAAACGAACAATAGCTTACTATTTTTTGTGCAATGGTAAATCAACGAAAATTTACAATTTAACGAGTTATGAGAGTCATATTAAATTTTTAACTGGTGGTCATAGAGACTAAAGACATTATTGCTTTATTAACTTAAGTTTTTTTACAGTAAAAATTTTATTTCAATAAAAATAAAAACAGAACAAATGTCTAACTTAGCTAAAAATTTCACAAAAATAAATTAAAAAGAATCTAAGGGTAATTTTAAAATTAGGGATAGGCCTTGAGTTAAATTAAACAATAAATAATTATAATCAAATTATATGTTATTAGCAGGAAATATAATAATAATTTATTAACTTTCAAGCAGTTGAATAAAATTTAGAAATTCATTGATACTTGTTGAAACTTAAAGATTAATAAAAAACATAAATGTCATTTTAAATGCTTATCAGAATTTGACAAAGTGTTCTCAGTTATATCTGATATTCAAATTGCCCATTGGGTTACCCATTTCATAATTTATTGTAGACACAAAATTCTTATCAGAATATTCTTTTTTTTTTTTTATCAAATCCATGTAATATATTCCTTGGCAAAGCATGATCATTAGTTAACAGTAGCAGTTTTTGTTTCTTTTAACTGGTATTATCATAATTTTAATTCATTCAAATCAAAATATATTTTATTCATTTATATAAGTTATCTGACTTTTTTGACCCAAAACTTTGGCAGGTAGGGGTGCACAACTTGCAGCCCGCCGATTACTGATGCGCGGCCCGCAAGAACTTCTTTTTTTTTTTTTTTTTNACTTTTTTTTTTTTTTTTTTTTAATAAATTGAAAAAAATTTGAATCTTTTCAATTTCTCTTCACAAAATATTGAATCTTAATATGTACTATAATAGTTTCGTTTTAATTTTTGGTTTTCGCTGAAACCCTATAAATTTTCTTTAATTAAAATATTTAGTTCAAATTTATATTACTCATTAAAATAGGTATGTATGTATTTTTTTTTACACATTTATTCTATGAGCACCGTTTATTT